TTTTCCTTGACTCCTGGCTCTTGCCTTGACTGACTATACAGCCGGTATGCTAGCTTTTTAAGGGTGATTCCAGTATGGCCAGTCTCTAGTCACACAATGGAAATTGCCCTTTTCAATTCAGTCAAGAATTTTTTTTTTTACACCTTGGTCTGGGGATGTATATGCATACCTTTGCACTTAGTTTAATACCTCATTATCTATCTCTGGCTTCCTGTAATTACATCCTGGGCTGAGGTATGGGAGTGTCAGTCAGGATAAATTCAGGGATATGTTGGAACCAGCTCAAGTTGGTTCCAGAAGATGATTGTTAAATTTTCAGTGTGACGTTTATACCTTGGAAATTGGGAACTGTGGAACATCAGGGTTTGGTGTATTGTTTTGTTGATTGTCTAGATGAGAAAGTGATGGAGAAAATATAAATAATGTAGATTAAACTTGAAAGTATGCCCTGCAAACATTTCCACACCCACCCACCTCCCCAACTCCTCATAGAACTGGTTGTTAAACATTTACCAGCACACTACTGGACCAACTCCTCCTTACTGCACTCTATGGACCAATTTCCAGGTTTTGTCCCAGACTCAGTACATAATTTATCCCAATCTCTTTTACCTATCACACTCACATATGGTGATCAGAGGCAGAAGAGGCAGAAAAAGGTAACTCTCTGAAATATTTAGTTTTTTGAAAATGTCTCCTAACGGATATTCTTCCTTATAGGAGAGTTGGAAAGAAATAAAGGCAGCCTAAGGCTCTTCTCACAAAGGGCAGCTAGATGGCACAGTGGATAAAGCACCAGGCCTGAAGTCAGAACTGAGTTCAAATCTAGCGTCAGACATTGACTAGCTATGTGACCCTGGGCAAGTCACTTAACCCTGTTTGCTTCAGTTTCCTCGTCTGTATGAGAGCTGGAGAAGGAAATGGCAAGCCACATTGGTACCATTGCCAAGAAAACCCCAAAATGGTGTCACAAAAAGTACCACATGACTGAAGAAGAAGAGCTCTGCCAGGAACATCATCTATGATAAGCTACACTGAATTCCAAGGCAACGTAAGCTGTGTTATTGTAGGACTCTGGGGCATAAGAGAAATAAATCACAGAACCACGGGATCATAGTTTCCTCATTTGTAAAATGGGGATAATAATACTTGTCCTCCATACCTCACAGAGTTATTGTGAGGAAAGTGTCTTATAAATCTTAAACCACTATGGAAATGAGATTTATCTATGTATAGATAAAAACATGCAGATGCAGACATAGCTATAGACACAGATTACATACATGTATATATCATATCATGTGTGTGTCTATGTATATGAGAGGCAAGGTGGGCATATTTCCCTGGAGGTGGCTAAAATCTCCATTGTTCCAGAATACCAGGCAGAATAGCCAGGGTTTAAGGTCCCTGTGGCTTCTTTCCATTCCGGAAAAAATGTAAAAAAGCTATTATTAGATTGAATTGAGATGGTCTGACCCTGCTCCAGAATAAGGAAAAGCCCTCCCTCCCTTCCTCCTACACTTTTTCTTGTTTACTTCATCTCCAGCTTCCTTCCTCACTGGTCTCCCTTCCCTTCCAGTGTTATGGTACACACCTTTCCTAGTTTCTTACCTACTTCCCATCCATCTTTTTTTAAGCTGTATTTCTCTTCTGAATCATCCTTGAATTTCCCATGATTATACCTTGATCCCTGGGGAATCCACAGAATTCTCTTCTTCATGAGAATGAAAGGCATAGTATAAATACGGAAGATGGATCATATCACACATAAATGCTTCCCACAATATCAGATTATTCAATAGCTTCTTTTAACCCAGGGGTAGCCAGGTGGTGCAGTAGATAGAGAGGTATACTTGGAATCAGGAAGACCTGAGTTCAAATCCAGCCTCAGATACTTACTATGTTACCCTGGGCAAGTCACTTAACCTTGGTCAAATGGTTTGCCCCAGTCTCCTCATCTGTAAAATGAGTTCTACCTCCCAAGGTTGTTGTGAGGAAAAAAAGGAGATAATAATTATGTAAGGTACTTAGTATAGTGCCTGATATATAGTAAATACTATATAAAAGTTAGCTGTTATTATTTTATTATAATAATATCATTATTATTATTATTATTATTAACCCAAAGTAGAAACTTTAGGGAACATGGTTCATTTTCTTTCAAAGAATAATACTTATTCAGTATGTTATATCCTTTTTAAAAAGTTTAATTCATTTTTCCTTCTCTCTTTATGAATTTCACTAGTGGCTTATCCTGTTAGTGGTTAGGCATATGCATAGCCTTACTCTTTTGGACTTTTTGTCTTTCAGCCTTTTTCTTTTTTTGCAAGATAATTGGGGTTAAGTGACTTGCCCAGAGTCACACAGCTAGTAAGTGTCACGTGTCTGAAGCTGGATTTGAACTCAGGTTCATTTGACTCCAGGGTTGGTTCTCTATATACTGCACCACCTAGCTTCCCCTTCCAGCCTTTTTTCCTATTTCCGACTTTCCTCTTCACCGTTTGGCCCTTGTTCCTTCCACGCTGGGGCATGCACCTGTCCTCCTGCGGGAGTCCTTACCCTCCTTGAGGTGAGGTGATGTAGGGGCCACCCAGAGCAAGGGCCACAAGGAAGTTAGTGACTCCAGCTAGGTTTCTAGCCTCCTTTCCCATGGGCCCAGAAAGAAGCCTCTTTTTGGCCAGTGTCATCTATGCTGTCTAATCTTCTCTTCCCTCTCCCCTTTCCCCCATTTGCATAGCTGCACTCTCATTCATACAGCTGGATAAGATCAATATTTCCCCCATCTTCTGGGGTCTAGAGGGTTCAGGCTGAGTCACTGCCATGGAGTTGGGGTGGGAGAGAAGGCTCAGGTAGAGGCACCACAAGCCACCCCAAAACACCAAGGGAGGCTGCTGGTGCTGGCTACCCGTCTTTTTTGTGTGTGAACTGGTTAGCAGGAGTTCCATAAGGTTTTCCTCCCTTCACCTCCCTGAGCTCCTCATCTCCAACAAAGGGATGCTCACAAGAAGCAAGTAAATGACTTCATGTTCTCCCTCCTCTCTCTTCTGGGGGAGTTGCATTCATATGGCCAGAAGGTGAGAAGCATAGCACCCTCAAATGTCAGAGTTACAAGGGACCTTAGACGCAATCTCCTCCAACTCCTTTATACTTATAAAGGAAGAAACTGGGCAATAGAGTGTATCACCAGGAATGGAAACCAGCTCCCCCAAGCCAAAACACAGAGGGCTGAGAAGTGAGATGGGTGGAATTAGAGGCAACAGGTACAGCCAGCTTTTTCTAGGAATAAGGGGAAGAAAGGAAGGAAGGAAGGGAGGGAGGGAGGGAGGGAGGAAGGAAAGAAGGAAGGAAGGAAGGAAGGAAGGAAAGAAGGAAGGAAGGAAGGAAGGAAGGAAGGAAGGAAGGAAGGAAGGAAGGAAGGAAGGGAGGGAGGGAGGGAGGGAGGGAAGAAGGGAGGAAGGGAGGAAGGGAGGAAGGGAGGAAGGGAGGAAGGGAGGAAGGGAGGAAGGGAGGAAGGGAGGAAGGTAAATATGATCTCACTTGAGCCTTAAAAACAATTCTGGGAGATAAGCACTGTTATTATCTCCATTTTACATATGAGGAAACCAAGGCAGGCAGTGAGTTAAGTGACTTGCCCAGAGTGATATAGCTAAGTTTCTGGGGCTGGATTTGAATTCAGGACTTTCTGAGTCCTGGCCCAGTGCTCTTCCATTGCACCTCCTTCTGCCTAGACAGAGCTGTTCTATGCCTTCATTTCTCCTTCATCTGTAAAATGAAGGGGTTGGCTCAGTTGATCTCTCAGGTCCCTCCTGGCACTAGAATGGACTGAATTGCATACATACATGTTTAGTCTCAGGTATCTATAATCTGATATATCAGTGGTATATAATATATACCACTGCTCAGTCCCTTTCATTCCATTTTACTGTAAGCATTTTTATCAAAGATCATTATAAAATACAAAGTCCTATTCCGCGACTCTTACATTATACAATATATGTCTCACAGTCAGCACCACGACAGCAAGAGGAAACACCTTGTAAGCAGTGGTTCACCTTGTAAGCAGTGGTTCACGTCGTAAGCTCCAGGACTCATTCACCAGAGTGAGGATGCCCAGCCTTGGCCCTAGGAAGCCGCTTTCCCAAAGAGGCACCAAGCCATGACTTCTTACTTAAGTACTTTTATTCTAAAGACCAAGTATGGCAAGTAATTAGAAACTTCTAGGGGGAAATGCTACAAAACTCCTTTCTCTTGACTTACTCAAATGCTACTTCAGGGATATCCAGCACAATAGTAGAACCTGCACTTCCAGGGTCAGGAGAATGTTGTAGTCACTCTACAAGTGCAGTGTCCCACCTGGAGTTGTCCTGGTGGGGCTTCCCTACCTCCTCCCCACCCCAGAATCATAATGTCATATTGGCTTTGTAGAATTTTTCTGCACAGTGACATTGACCAGACAACATCCCCTGTCTATAGAAACAAAACCTGCCTGGATTGGGTGGCGTCATTGGTACTGTCAATTAATAAGTATTTATTAAGCACGCACTATATGCCAATCATGGAAATAACACAGGACTTGAGAGTTAGAAGTCCTGGGATTGAGTTCTGTCTCCGCCTTGAGCAAGCAGCTTTAACTACTACTACCATCTTCATTCTTCCCATCAGCAAAAAGGAGATGCCTATATCACCTGCCTCACAAAGTTATTGTGAAGTGAAATAATGTATATAAAAAGGCTTTCTAATGGTAGGATGCCATATAGAAACCATTCCTCAAGTCGTTAATGCTCCCTGCTAATTACCCTGTATGAATATATATTTATATATATATATATATATATATATATATTTATATTTATATACACACAACATACTTACACACATACACACACACATATATACACATATATGTGTATATATGTGTGTATCTATGCTTATTTGCATATATGTCTCCCTTAATAGAATGTAAGCTCCTTGAAGGAAGGGACTATTTTATTTTTGTCTTTGTAACCCTAGCATCTAGCAAAGTGCCTAGCATATAGTAGGTTGATTACTTCTTTTGCTATCCCTATTAGAGCCTAACAAGTGTTTCACCTAGAGCAGATGTTCAATATATATCTGTTGAATGAATGAATAATAAACTCAAAGAAGAAATCTATCCATGCCTGGGTTTTGCCTGTTAATTTTACTGTATATTATTAAGTTATTTGAATCATATTGCAGGGACATGCACAGAATGACACAATTGACAATATTTCACAAGTCTTATAAGATTCAGGAAGAGCAAACAGGTGATTTCAACACCAGATGGTGTTACAACATTGATAGACAGCAATAGAGCATAGCTTGACGTGACATGGTTCAGACATAACACGGGTCAAATCCAGTGTCTGAAACAGAATAATGAGAAGCTGCAAAAATCCAATATAGCACAAACCACAGCAGGTCAGAGTCCAGCCTTTTGGCACCACTGCCATGGAGTTTTACTATGTCACAAAAGGACCTTGCAGCTAGGACAGTTCCCTCCCTCAAGCTAATAGTCTTCCCTAGCAAATGCAGGCAGGGAAAGGAGGATGTGGAAGGGAAGTTGATATGGGTAATTTCAGGCCTCAGGAGATGGCCTCACCTCCTTTTCCTTGCGTGGAGTAATATTGACCAAATCTAGGATCTACATTTCAGAAGGCAAAATAAAAGGGAAGCAGATAAAGTTAGGATTTTCCTGTGTTCCCAGTAAGTGGTTGTAGAAATAGCCCCGCTGTTCCAAATACACAGACGATTATAAATACCCAAAGAAACACTCGGTCTACTACCATGGCCACATATTTCCAGTCATCTTCCACCTGAAATCCAAACAAAGAAAAATGAGTTTTCTTTACTAAAGACAACTTGGAGAATAGGATCTGTTTTACTGCCTTTCCTGAGTGGCCTTGTATGTGTAGGGGCTCCAGAATGACAGGCTCCATTCCTGTCCATACTTAAATGCTTCTTCTGACTAATAAAAAAATAAAGAGTGATATCAGAGTCCCTGATCTCTGACACCAACATAATCTAAAGGGACAGATGACAGCTCCATAGCTAGCTTTTGATGTTGTTAGACTGGAAATCTATGTCAGCAGATTCATCACAGCCAATGCTTTTGAATTTCTCTGTGCCCTAGCCCTTGAGTGATTTGACTATACTGCCAGGCATGCACAACCTCTCATGGAACACTACTTTTAGCAATCCCACAGACATAAAAGGAATGACATCCAGGGTCACCTACCTCCTGAGAGTCTCACTGCTTCACGGTGATGAGCTCCCTTCTCTTTCCCTCCTCCAAGCACTATACTGTTCTGCACATGGTGTGATGAGGGCTAATTTCAAAATACCAACAGTGGAAGCCCTGCTTATATATATGCTGGTTGCAGGAAGCCCCAGTGTAGGAGAAATTAGTACATTTCTTGAGGTTATTGACCCCAACTACTGCCTTCTTGCTCCCATAGCTCAGCTGCACTGACTTTCTTGCTGTGCTAACAGTGATGCTTTAAGTGAGGAGTTCTATCAGCTAAGAAAGTCTTGCATTTGCTACCCAACTCCGGAGAAATAATGACAGACTTAGAGTGAAGATTGAGGCATTGGGGGTGAGGGGCAGGGGGAAACAAATGGCTGATTCAGGAATTTGTTTTGCTTGACTATATATATTTATAACAGGTTGACCTTGCTTCCTCAAAAGGGGGTGGGGGTGGAGGTGGGGGTGAAGGATGCAGACCTGAAATGAAATAAAATAAAATTGAATTTTTTAAAAAAGAAAGTCACGCATTTACCTCCTTTGTTTCATTTTGGTTCCTCATGTTTTCTGCTATAAATTGGACACTATCAATCACATCTTTGACTTCAGATGTGTACTCCAAATGTTCTGTCATCCATTTTAAAGACTGATAACTTAATTTCTCCTTGCTGGTAGATAACTCATTGGACTTGTTACAATGGCAACATTCCTGTTCTTCAAATGACTTAGGATCTTCACATTCAGGAAATTTGATCTTGGCAGGCTTCTTGACAAACCCTTCAGAGTTTTTATCGGAACGTTTCTCCCTTTGCTTTTCCAGAGGCCTCCTCATCATTAGGATTTTGGGTAACATCTGGAGGAAAACTGTTTTGACCCACTTGGGCATAGTGTGTGTTGTGGGAGTACGATAGTGAATATTTAACACAAACACTGTCACAACAATGGACAGTGTCACAAAAATCATTGTGAACAACAGGTATTCACCTACCAGAGGAATTACAAGGGAGGTAGAAGGGATAGTTTCTGTGATTACAAGCAAAAACACAGTCAGAGAGAGCAGAACTGAAATGCAAAGTGTCACCTTTTCTCCACAGTCAGATGGCAGGTAAAAGACTAAAACTGTCAGAAATGAAATGAAGAGACAAGGGATTATCAAGTTAATTGTGTAAAACATTGGTAGTCTCCTAATGTAAAAGGAATAGGTTATATCTGTGTAGATCTCTTCACAACAATTGTATTTTATGTCATGCTTATAGCCGGAAGCATCAACTATCTCCCATTCACTATTTTCCCAAAAGTCATTCATGTCCACTTTTGAGCCAACGATTAAAAGGTCAATTTTCGCTTTGTCATATGTCCAGGAGCCAAACTTCAAGGAACAATTCTGATGATCAAAAGGGAAAAAGGTGATGTCCATAGGACAAGAGCTCTTGAAAATAGCTGGTGGGGTCCAGCTTATCATGCCATCATATTTAAGAAGGGCTTTTGTCTTGCCTTCAACTTGAAAATCCCCAACAGCACTGAAAATGAAACCAGGCAACATTAACAATGAGGCCTTTGGCTATGTGGGACTAGGTTGAAGCTAACGTACAGAGCAACCTTTTCAATGGGAAAGAGAACCATGTCTTACTTGTTATAGAGAACAATATCAGGCTTCCAAATTTTATCGGCAGGGACCCGAAGCAATTCAATTCCATCATATTCTGCTGGATTCCAACGCAACTTGTAATCATTCCAAATCTAAAAGAGAAAACAGTCATTTTCATATCAGGTGTTCAAGAACTTTCTGCTAGTGTTAAATGTACTTTTACTTCCTCCATGTTCTGGAAATATTAATACAAATAGGATTTATTAGGGTCTGGATGCTAATAGGTTCAAGTGAGCTCTTGGAAGGAAAGTTCATCACTATTACAACGCCGTGATCTGAATTACCTGGGGATATGATGAACAGGAATCCCCTCAACATCCTTGACAGATGATCGTTCAACCTTTGGGCAACTAGGTGGCAAAATGGATAGAATGCCAAGCCCAGAGTCAGGAAGATTCATCTCCATGAGTTCAAATCCATCCTCAAACACTTAGTAGATGTGTGACACTGGGCAAGTCACTTAAACTCTGTCTGCCTTAGTTTACTCATCTTTAAAATTATATATATTAACCTTTCCAAGAAATATAGGTAGAGCCTGCATTTGGCAGTAACCTGTATTTAGGCCAATGAAAAAGGTCAACCACATATGCTTGTTGGTATCTTGGACCATTCAGGAAGGATTATAAAGACAAAAAAAGTTCCTGCCCTCAAAGCATTTACATTCTCTTGAGGAGTAGGAGAGTAATAACAGATACATAGATAAATAAACATAAAACATGTGTTGTTGTTCAGTCATTTCAGTCACTTCTGGCTCTTCCTGACCCCATTTGGGGTTTTCTTGGCAGAGATACTAGAGTGGTTTGTCATTTCCTTCTCCAGCTCATTTTACAGATGAGGAAACTGAGGCAAACAAGGTTAAGTGACTCTCCCAGGGTCACATATCTAGTAAGTGTCTGAGGTCAAATTTGAATTCAAGTCTTCTTGACTCCAGACCGCAATCCTCTACCCTCTGCACCACCTAGCAGCTCAAATATAAAACATACACAAAGTGATTTGGAGAAGGGAGAGAGGCTGGGAAGAGTACTAACAACTGAAGGTATCAAGACAGGCCTCATGTAGGATGGGGCCCTAGAACTAGAGCTCACAGAGACCTTTAATACTCCAGTTCTGCAAGCATGGGGCTGATTCATATTAAACCGGGTATCACCATATGTGACATTCAGGATTTTTTTAAGGTAAAGTTTTGGGGGGCAGAGTATTTTGTTGGTGTAGAAAGAAAGGAACAGAGAGTGTCAGTGGGTTTCAGATAGCAGACATTACTAATCCAGAGAGAAACAGATGGATGAGCAACCCAGATACCCACATGGCGCAGCCACAGATTGGTTTCCATGATCTGATTAACTTCATCCTAGGAGAAAAATAATAATAACCTCCATGGTATCAGAAATGCCATCAACACAGATGCATGTTAGCATAAGAATTAGGACCCATACACAGTCAACCCTAGATTATCCATAGTAAATGGAGGGAAGAGTAATGAATTAAAAAAATAATACAAAAACCATTCATATTGGGCTTTGGTATACAGAGAAAAGGCGTATATATGGTCAGACCTTCTTAGACTCTTTCCCATTAGCCTCCCTCTAAGTGTGGCCCTAGCCCCACTGGCTTTGAAAGAAATATGATGGTACACTGGGCTCAAATCCTAGCTCTTCTGGGGTGCTTTCTTTGACCAGACCAGCCTGGCCCAGCCCACAGGGCTCTCTCCCTTCTATGAATTTCTCTAATATTTATTGTCTCTATATTGCACAGTAACTGGCACAGAGTAAGCATTTAACAAATGCTTCACCTACCTATCTTACCTACTTATTAGAGCTATAGAGAGCATGTTGGACTAGGATGAAAATGGGTTCTAATTCCAGTTCTGCCATTTGGTAATCATGTGATCTCAGGGCAACACATTTAATTGAAAGCTGTCGTCAACCTTTCTGTATCTCAGTTTCATCATCTGTCAAATGATGATAATAATATCTGCCCTGCCTACCTCACAAAGTTGTTGTGAGGATCAAATGAAATAATGTGACCAAAGCACTTTAGAAAATGTAAAGTACTATTTTAAAATTTGTTATTATTATTATTTGTCATATGCTGCCTTATATTAGTAATTGTTCTTCATGTTCTGTGTCTCAATTCCAAGTAGATAGTAAGTTTCTTGAAGATAGGGACCTTGTCACATGTTACTTAGTAAGCCCTATAGCACCTAGTACAATGGGTTACACACAGTTGACATATAAGTGTTTGTTGAGTATTTGATTCAAGCAGTCAAGGTAGAAAAGGTTCTTCTTTCCATTGGCGGATTGGACTCAGAGTAGAAAAAGTAAGCATCCTCCCCTACCCTAACAAAAAAATGGAACAAGTTGCTCGTGAAGGGGCCTAGATTTCTGTAATTATCTAGAAAAAGCAACTAACTTTAGTAGCAAAAGCTGAAAATTTCATACTCAAAATACTACTACTACAACTACTACTGCTACTACTACTACTACTACTAATACTAATAATAATAATAAACTGGGGGGCAGCTAGGTGGTACAGTGGATAGAGTGCTAGACCTGGAGTCAGGCAGACTCATCTTCCTAAGTCCAAATCTGGTCTCAGACACTTACTAGCTGTGTGATCCTTATAGAACTTGTATCTAAACAATTATTACCTTGTTCAAAGTATCACTTTGGAGAACCTGCATACTTATTGTAGTAATTCTCTTACTGCTCAAAACAGGCTTGGAACATCTTTTTTTAACTTCTTCTCAGATCTTACAGGATTTTTAATTTTAATTTTTTCCATTAGAGCATTTGATTTGTATATATATTTTACACCCTTGAAAAAAAGGAGTATCCTAGGATTTTTCTACCTGTGTGTTTTTGGCTTGCTTCTTTATGGTCCATGATGCCAGCTGAGGTTACAAGCACAATGAACCCAAACTGATAAGATGCTAGTAGATGATCCTGCCACTTTTGCAGATCTTTCCATCAATTTCTATCAATTCTGGGGCTGATTACACCACACTTCTTTAATCTGCCCATGGGTTCACAGAAATTTTTCCTGCTCTGTGATGATCAATGATCTCAAATTTGACACTGTAATCATGCTTCATCATCACAGTTAAGAACCAGACAATTACTTTAGAATATGGCTTAATGAGAACCTGTCATTTCCTCGCTACTCTGAGAAGCTGATGCTTTTTTTAAAGCCTCTGTCAGGACATTCATGTGCACCATATTGGTAATGCTGCAAGATAGTGGAAAGAGCCTTGCAGATTTGTTTTTTGGTTTGTTTGTTTTTTTAACTATACCTACATTTGACAGACTCATCCTTTAAGGGTATACCTGTTCTTGGGGCAGCCAGATGGTGCAGTGGATTGAGCACTGGCCTTAGAATCAGGAGGACCTAAGTTCAAATCTAGCCTCAGATGTTTGATGTGTCCTAGCTGTGTGACCCTGGGCAAGTCACTTAACCCCACTGCCTAACTAAAAAAATAGAAAACATTGCATTGTTCTTTTTAAATAGCCAACACCCATTCATAGTTAGGTCTGGTGAATAAAGTGGGTGATCACATGGCATAACACCATTTTAGATAAAAAATTAGGTTTGGCTATACCTAAAAAAATGAGACTGAGCCTATATTCTTGGATGGCATATAAAATGGTTCTGAAGCCAATACCAAAAGAAGAAGTAATACCAGACATATTTTGAAGCATGGCAACATAGGATAATATATATATATATATATATATATATATATATATATATATATATATATATATATATATTTTTAGAATCAGAAGGGACTTCAGAAGTCATCTAGTCCACAAGGAACAAACGCATGGCCCCCAACATTCCTATGTGTTGTGAGCTGGATTACAATGTAATTGAGAAATAATTAACAAAATAAACAAAAAAAATAGAACACAGATGATGTTAATATGTGGTTTTCTAAGTCAACATGACTTAGGGATCCTTATGGACAATTTAGTGGCACTGTTTGTTTTTGAGTATGACAACACTGGTCAAGTTCATCTCCCTTATCCGTAGGGACCTGAGGTCTTGAGAGGTACAAACAGCGACCCACACTATGTTACAAGTGGCAGAAGTGTGATTCAAACCCAGGTTTGCTATTGTTGTTCAGTCATGTCCTGCTCTTCATGACCCCATTTGAGGTTTTCTTGGCAAAGATACTGGAGTGGTTTGCCATTGCCTTCTCCAGCTCATTTTACAGATGAGGAAACGGAGGCAAATAGAGTGAAGTGACTTGCCCACAGTCACACAGCTAGTATTTGAGGCTAGATTTAAACCCAGGTTCCCCGATTCCAAATCCAGTACTCTACTGCACAATGCTGTCTTATAGAACAGTTGTACAGAGTCCCAAGGTGATGACTTTAAAGGACAGCAATTCATAGGTACATCTAATAGAAAATGAGTCTCATTACATTACGCTTTGGTCTAGTGCAGTGAGCACTGGTCTTGGATTTGAATCCCAATTCCACCATTTATAAGCTGTGTGATTGTAAGTTACTCCATCTCTCTGAAGCTCCATTTCTTCATCTATAAAATGAGAATAATATTATCTGCAGTTCCTACCTCAAGGAAGATTGTGAGGAAGGTGCTATAGTAAAGCTTTAAAGCACTGAAGAAAGAGGAGTGAGGGTTGATAGTCACACCTCTTAAATAAATTGTGATAACATCTGGACAGTACTTTAAGCTCTTTAGTGATAAGGGGCTGGAATAGATCTAAGCTCTAAACAAATGTTTCTTTTATTCAATGTCACTTACCACATTGGCCAGCTGGGTAATTGCCACTTCAAAATACACTGTGACAGGATCAGACACATTTTCTACAGGTCTGATGAACTGGTTGTAATGAGAAAACAGCTTATGAAACAGGCGTTCTTCAGACTCACAAGAGGTGCAACCTGCATTGGCCCAAAGAAAGAGAAATGTGGTATTTCACAGTCTTTCAAAGCAAAATGGCCCCACGAGTAAACAGAAGACCTCAAAGAGTCTTAGGAAATGGTGGCTAACTTAAGTGAGTTATTACATAAAGCTTTTATAGTTAAAAGACTGATCAATGTAAAATTTTCCAAAGTGGCTTCTGAAACAACCTGTTTTTGCCTGGAGACTTCAGAGTTTGGGAGGGCACACGTGCAATATCAGGATCTTTATGATCCCGTCTTGAGAGTGGCCGCCATCTTGGTGCTGATTGATGAGAGTTTAAGTACGTTGATGAGTTTGTTTTTTCAGTGTCTGCTTGTCAGAATCTGTTAGTTCAAAGGAAGCTGCATACAGATTTCTCTCAAAATATGTCTTCTTACAGTATTTTTTTAAGTGATGGACATTTTTTTCATAGTTAAAGTTTCTTGGCCACATCTTCTGCCCCTGTATATCTACTAAGCTAGGGCTAAAGTTTTACTATAGCAATTTTTTCAATTCAATGGAAAATAGCTTACAGAACCTTAGTGTTAGAAGGGACCTTAGGCTCTGTTAGAGATCATCTAATTCATTTTCCCACTCAATGCAGAAATCCCCTCTTTGATATTTCTGAAATGTTCAGTTTAATGCTCAAGAATTCACAGCATAATTTCCTTTTGCAAAATGCTACCAGGTTGGGGCAGCTAGGTGGTGCAGTGGATAGAGCACTAGCCTTGAAGTCAGGAGGACCTGAGCTCAAATCCAGCCTCAAACCAAACACTTGACACTCACTAGCTGTGTGACCTTGGGCAAGTCACTTAACCCCAATTGCCTTAAAAAATAAGCCAAAAAAAAATGCCCACAGGTTAGATCAATACAATGACAAACCACAATTCCATCAGACCAAAAATGAACTGCACTACCCACCTTTAGTCAGACTTTAAAGGGAACATTTGATAGTCAGGTAACTGCCAAAGTATGATGTCATGTTAGGAAAATGTCAATGAACCATTATTTAGGCTATAGGAAAAAATACTGTAGTGAAAAAATACACTGGACCTCAAAGTCAATAGATATGGGTTAAGTTTCAGCTCTGACATTTATTAAAAGTGTTATCTAGGGAAAATCACTTAATCCTTCTGAGTTTCATTTTCTTCATCTATAAAATAGAAATAATGATACCCATGCTACCTACCTTGTAGAACTCTTGTGAGGATCAAACATTTTTATCAATGCAATAAATATGCCTACTTTCCTCCTTGGGCAAGGGACTTGTGGAGTTTGCTGATGAGCTGAGGAGGTCAGAGGTTGGGATCACAGTTGCTGTAGCCCTTAGTGGGATAACTGAGAAGTTAGGGTCCAATAAGTATTATTTGTGAGTAACTGAGTTATCTCTTCTTGCACCACTGGGTGATGGAAGGTTTGCCTTCAGCCTCAAAAGGGTTTCTGTCTTAGGCTGGGTCTACAGTCTAATTTACCTGTAAGTGATGTTTTCACTTTTGCCTAATTTGATTAAACCCTTCATATATTTGTGACCTTGAGAAGGGTGACTCAGTGAAGTATATAGTCAGGGGCATAATAACTGGGAAGGACCAATGGGATGAGGATCATAAGAGCTGTGATATTCGATTAGATGATCCAGACACAACCCCTAGCTAATGATGTCACTCCATTTCTCAATAAGCTTCTTTGTTTTTGTTGTTGTTGAATAATTTCAGTCATGTCTGACTCTCTGTGATCCCCATTTGGGGTTTTCTTGGCAAAGATACTAGAATGGTTTGCTATTTCCTTCTCCAGCTCATTTTACAGATGAGGAAACTGAGGCAAACAGGGTTAAGTGACTTGCCCAGGGTCACACAGCTTAGGAAATGTCTGAGTCCAGATTTGAACTCAGGTCCTCCTGATTCCAGGGACAGCACTCTATCCATTGTGCCACCTAGCTGCCCTCAATAAGCTTCAATGACTCCTCATTATCTCATTATTAGTAGTAGTAATATTGTTTTATATAAAATACAAACCCCTTTATTTGGCATTTAAAGCCCATTACAATTTAGCTTTAACCTGTCTTTCCAGGCCAATTACATATTATGCTCATGGATGTTCTATTTTAGCCAAAAAGATATACTTGATGTTGCATCTACAAGACATTCCATCTCCCATCTCCTTCCTTTGCAAAAACTGTTCCCCATGTCTTTGATGCTCTGCCTTTTTGTATAGGCCTTTTAGGAATCCCTTCAAGACTCATCTTCAATCTCACCTCCTAAAAAAGGCCTTTCCTGATTTCCTCAGTTATTAGTACCTTCCGCTGTTATACTGCATATATCTTATAAAGATTTTGTATTTACTTATGGGTGTATGTATTTATTTTTTCAGTAGAATGTAAGCTTCTTGAAGGCAGGGACTTATTTTTTTGGTCTTGTTTTGTTTGTCTTTGCAACCTTATCACCCAGTACCATGTTTAGCACATACTAGAGATGCTTAATAAATGTTTTATAATTGAATTGAACCTGAAAACACCGATGCCAACCACAAAAGGGAAAAGCCAAGGAACTGAGTGCCAGCCAGATGCTCTGAGAGCCTGAGAAGCACACAGGGACTCTGGTAGATTATTCCAGCACACCCTCTACTGCTAGCTGGTGTCTGAAACATCAATGACTTGAATAAAGGATTAAGATACCTTATTTTTCCACTTTGCGGATGACACAAAGCTGAGTAGTAAACTCATTGGATGATGAGTTAGCATCCATAAAAAAACAGGCTAGAAACCTAAACCAAACCAAATGAGATGAAATTTGCTAGAGATAAGTAAATCTTATCTGACACTTGGATTCAGAAATTATATGGGAGAGGTGTCCAATCAGCAATCAATCTGAAAATGATCTGGGCATTTCAGTGAACCTAATATGAATCAATAGTATGATATGGCAGTCAAGGTAGGTAATGAGATTTTACACTGGAGTAAGAGAGGCATGGTGTCCAAAACTAGAGGAGTGATGGGATAATCCATTCACTTGGCCAGACTGCTTCTGGACCACCGTGTTTAGAGCAGGGCACCATATTTTAGGGAGGACATGAGCAAGCTAGAAAATGTCCAGAGTGGAGAAACCAAGATAGTGAAGGTCCTCAGAATCATGTCACAAAAGGATCAATAAAGAACTGGGATGTTTAATAAATTTTTTAAAAAGTCAGTTTAGAGGGAGTCTCATGGAAGAGGGATTTGGTTGCTTCTGCTTTGCCTAGAGGACAAAACTTGAAAAACAATGAGTTAAAGCCACAAATGGACAAATTCACTTAATGTAAGGAAAAACTTCCTCATGATTAGAGATCTTTACAAGTGTAATTGGCAATCTCAGGAAGTACTGAGTTCTCTCTCAGTGGAGCATTTCAGGAAAAGGCTGGATGACCATATATGATGTAGAAGATAGCTGGATTTGGAATCAGAGGACCTGGGTTCAAATTCTGCTTCTACTACTTTCTATCACTGTGATCTTGGTAAGTCACTTAATCTCTCTGGGCCTCCCTCAGTTTCCACATCTATAAAATGAATGGATGACCACTGAGATCCCTTCCAGCCCTAAACCTATAATCCCATGATCCTATGTTGCAGAAGGGAATGTGAGTTCATGGATAGGTTGAGCCACTTGACCTTTGAGGGCTCTTCCAACTTTGATCTTCTGTGATGATGTGATTGTGATTCGTTGAAACTTGATAATTTATATAAATGACAACATATTAATGTTGGATGTTACATATTTATTAAGCTTCCTAGCATTCAAGGCCCTCTATAATCTGTGTTCATTTTACCTTTCCAATCTGCTATCCCTCTACTTCTGTACACAAACTTGCCACTCTAGCCAAAATGGTTTACTCACTTCCCTCAAACATAGCATCATACAGATTTCAAATTGAAAGAGATTTCATCTATTTCAAATACTTCATTTTATTATTTTTTCCTTTTTTTTTTTTGGCAGGGCAATGGGGTTAAGTGACTTGCCCAGGGTCACACAGCTGGTAAGTGCCAAGTGTCTGAGGCCAGATCTGAACCCAGGTCCCCTTGACTCCAAGGCTGGTGCTTAATCCACTGCACCACTTAGCTGCCCCCCAAAGACCTCATTCTAGAGATGAGGAAACTGAAGATCAGGAAGGTTCAATAACTTGCCCAAAGTCTTGTACTTTCTATCGTCTATGCCACTGTTCATTTTTAGAATGCCCTTACCCTCTCTGAATCTGAATCCTAACCAGTTCTCAGGGCTATGTTCAAGTCCTTCATCTTCTGAGAAATGTTCCTTGACCACTCTAGGCCAAAGCAATCTCTGTCTTCTCTCAACAAAAGTAGCACTCACTGTCTATACTACTCATTTGGCATTAATAATACACAGTCAAAAATTATATATCTTGGGGGCAGCTAGGTGGTGTAGTGGATAGACACCGGCCCTGGATTCAGGAGGACCTGAGTTCAAATCCGGCCTCAGAGACATAACATTTACCAGCTATGTGACCCTGGGCAAGTCACTTAACCCCATTGCCTAGCAAACAAACAAACAAACAAACAAACAAACAAAAAATTATATATCTTTATGTTATTAGGGCAGCTAAGTGGTACAGTGGATAGAGCGCTGGCCCTGGAGTCAGGAGGACCTGAGTTCAAATGTGGCCTCACACACTTATAGCTATGTGACCTTGTGCAAGCCATTTAACCCTGTTTACCTCAGCTCCTCCTCTCTAAAATGAGCTGGAGGGGGCAGGTAGGTGGCACAGTGGATAGAGAACTGGCCCTGAAGTCAGGAGAACCTGAGTTCAAATCTGGCCTCAGACCAAACACTTGACACTTACTAGCTATGTGACCCTGGGCAAGTCACTTAACCCCAATTGCCTAAAAATTAAAAAAAAAAATTTAATTTAAAATGAGCTGGAGAAGGAAATGGCAAACTACTCTAGTATCTTTGCCAAGAAAACTCCAAATGGGCTCAGATTCTTAAAATCTAGCCAATACAAGAGTCACAAA